AGAAGAATTCGGATAAGGTACGTCCAAGTAAGTCCCCCAAACAACAAGACCAAGTTGCGAAAACGAGGTAAACTCACTTCTACACTGATATTTCAATTCTCCCACAATTAAATGGGCAGGCCTCACAATGTCATTGAATTTCACTTATTTTCCAAAAGATATTCTTATCCAATATAGATGAGTATGTAGGAGCTGACAGTTGGATTTTTCACAATGAAATGGGGAGTCCCCACGATTTCACTTAAGCCCTTAGTCAAAATAAAGCAAACAAAGGAATCTGATCCAATAAAAAATATTATGGAGGGTCCCTTAAGAAGTAGAGACTTGAATTAAATCAAGTCCCAAAGTCATTACGCCATCATTTGGGCTAAGACTTAGCTCAATGTATAATCGTATGAATACAACGGCATTACATATATAAAGTAGAAATAGTCACGTACTTCCTTACAAAAGATAACTTAGCCGTAAATCACCTTATTCCTGTTCATTAACAGTTATAGAGATTATTACTACAACTGAAAATGTTGACAGTGCCAGAAAAATCAAACAAAAATCCCTGAACTTGTATTCATAAGGAATAGCTAAGGAAAGCTTAGAGCTAAAATTCAAAATGAGACAAAAGGCAACTCATGATGTGAAATCAAAACCATATTAAAATCTTCGATTTTAGTAGGTCTAGATATTAAGTTATTATGATGCGCTAAATTAACCCGATCTCACTAACCCATTTTCCTATTGTAAAAGTTTTCATACTAAAACGTTAGTTACTTTGCCATTATCTTGACTGCCACGTAGGGGTTCAGTATGCAATAACTGCAACCAATTGTGTGATTATGGAACTGGCTAAGATGTCTTATGTAATAACCACCATAGCAGTTAACTTAAGCATATAATTTAGATTACAAGTAGATCTATTTTGATTAATTTAAGATTTATCTGATTAAATAAAATTGTAAAATCGTTTATATCCTTTGGCACTAATTGTCGCACTCGTTACCAACAAATATTATTCATAATTGATCTAATTAATACATCATATCCCAAAGAGAATTTAAAGTCTACTATGATTGCAGTGAATAACATCTGAGGGCATACTTTAAATTTTTTTAATTAGCATTCTAAAAATTCAAACGCGTAGGGCGATAGGGCTTTTATCTATTTTCAATCCATATTATGTAGCTTCTAGAAAAATCATACAGGCATATATTATATATAGTTGATCCGGTTTTTTATGTATTCATACATTTTGAGGTAGTTTATAGTTGCAAGAAATTAATTGTTGTTTGATCTTTCTAAATAAATAAAAGCCGATTTTGTTACCCAGGATTATTAAAATCCATGTTTCATGGGGAAGGAACTATAAGATAAATTAGTAACGTGTCGCAACGACACAAATTCGAATCCTGTTGAGGATGTTGATGAGGACCAGGCCGGGTTGAAATTGTAGTCCGCACTAGATAAGGCTACCATTTAAAGGCAAAGCTAAAATATATCCCATGTATTCCTGAGGCTGACTCATATTATTTTAAAAAATTCAACTGTGAGCCCCTCATCACCTAATGTGACCTAGGGTGACTACAGTTCTTCGGTAAAAATGAAGCTTACAAGAAGAGTATTCTCCTAAGAAATATAATAGTTATAGTTAATTTAAAGCCTAATGGGTTAGTTGTCCAAAATGGAGAACTCATGAAAGGTATTGCACTGCACTTCAAATTCGAGTGAAAGCGTGTTATGAAGAGCTTTGAAGTTCAATCCCACCAGATGACGGTGGATTCTTCGTGACCGTCCGTTGGCCTTACTGGAACATCCTTGCTAACATTGTCCTCTGGGTTAACTCCCTCGAATCAAGTGAAAACATGTGAAGCTTTCGTCTGTCCCATGGTGGAAATCATCGTAGAAAGGTATCATTCTTACAACGGTATTCAAGCTAACGAATCAATAAAATTCACCGACGTGTCCTTAAATGCTGTATATATACCCAAAACCAATGCATTTTGATTAGGTATACAGTGATTTGGCCAGTTCAAGCCATATATTAGTCTAGAGGCATGTGCGTATCTTTGTGTCTGCTTATGTGACTTCATATGTACTCATATACACGAGCCAGTAGTGATAAATCAAGAGTCCTGGGAACCCAACTTTCATTTGCACACTCTACGTTAGTAAGGTATAAATTATTATAATCTTTTTTCTAGCTAAATGAAAGCAAAGAAATTCACATCCCGAAAAGTTAATAACATCGGATATCTAAAAAATGTATATTTCACATAATGTAGCAGCTAGATGTTGTTTTCTTGGTAATCGTCCAGGTTATATTACTTCGACTAATAGGAGAAACGAAGAGATATAGAGTGGTTTGGTTAAGACTAAACTATAGGAGGGTATACATATTTCTTAACCTGATTAGCGCCAAAAGCAGGATCAAATAAAACCTTTCCCTGTGGTTTTCTCAGGAACATTCTCTTGAACTACAAGACATGACGAATAGTCTGGAAGAAAGATTGATAAAATACACAGAGGCCTTACGTGCAAGAAATTAAGGGAGTAATACTATTTGTTCTAGCGAAAATAAGATAATTAATTTATCAAGTATACTTATACATGATAGTATTAGGCTCCCTCTGGAAAAAGGTCTTAAATTTGCCTTCCAAGTGAGAAGAATAATTCGATGGAGATGCTGATGAAATTAATTAAATCGACTGACAAGCTGCCAGAAGTTCAAAATTGTGTATAAAGAGAAGCTATATCTTATTTTTACCAAGTAATTACTACAAAACAATCTCATGACCTGACTATGATTTCTACATAATTGCAAGTAGATGATCAATTTGTTTTGAAATCATGTAAGGGCAGTGCAGTAGATGTCATGAGTATATTTGATGTTACATAGAAAAGATTAGGATCCACTCAAATAACTTGAAAATACACACATTTTAAGCGAAGGATCCCACTTAAAGTCTTAAGGTCAGAATTAGGGAATCGCTTAATGTTCATTTAGGCGAAGGAAATATTCAGTGAAGAATTCATATGAATTTGTTAGATTGGCAGTTAAACAGAGTATTAAAGAAGAGGACCTTTTAGTAAGTTCCAATGTGGCATCAATGTATACTAGCATCCCAGTTTTATAAGAGTCAATAACTAGCCGTTAGTCTATATGAACCTACGGATATCATCGGAGGAATATATCTAAGCAAAAGCTCAATCATAAGACTACTTAATCTATGAGTAGAAAATACTTCACCTTTAACGATATGTTTCATCATTATTTGCAAGGAGAGGCAACGCGATCTTGTTTGTCTCCTGGTATAGGTAATAAATAATGCCAAAATGGAGGAACTCTTCATGGAAGAGGTAAGATTTGCACCAAAAATTGTAGTAAGATATATGGATGATTATTTTTTTAATCGGGTAAGGACAGCTTAGATAATTTTTCGCTCTTAATGATCCAAAGAGATAGTAATATTAAGTTCACAATGGAAATAGAGAAAGATAATTGTTTGCCGTTATGGAATGTGTTATTTATCAGAGGAAGATAGAAGTTGGGCAGGCAATATATGAGGAGCTATATTCTCAACTTCTCCAACCAGCTACAAAAGGAAGGTTGGCATTCTAAAACCAGTGATTATTCAGAGTAAAAGATTATCGGTTAAAGGACATTATAATAAGGATCTAGATAGATTCAAAGTAACGTTAATGAAAAGAATACCCCTCCAGTCAAGATTTAAAATAACAGTGGATTAACAAAAAAAGCTTATTGAAATTGGAACTATGAAAGATATGAAACAATCGAGAACTTTCTCAAGTCCTGGCCTTGCCTTTCGTTCTTTTCCCCCACAATCAGACAAGAAACTCATCAACTCAATCAAACGTATTCGAGATTTCGCAATTGAAGCGATTATGATCGATACGCCTTGATGATCAAGGGCGGATTTTATCTTCTGTTCCAATTACTTGAAGATATCACTGTTGGTTTCATACATACACACGTATATACACACAAAGCCACAAGCACATACATGAACATGCTTCTAAATTGGCGAATAACTTAAACTAACCAAACAACTTTATACCTGAGCAAAAAGTATATATATATATATATATATTGTTTCCTTGACTCTGCTTGAATATGATTGTAAGAAAGATACCGTGTCCTGGTGATGTCAGCCATATATTGGACCAAAGCTTAACATGTTTACACTGTAATAGAATGAGAATGTTAGTAGTTTGACCTTGTTTTCGTAACTTGGTCATATTAACAGGAAGACCTAGAACACATCTTGTACAGAGTCCATAATATGCATGATAACTTTCAGTCGGACCGTGAACTTGGCACATTCACAGACGTTTCGCCAAAATCGTAGTCGGCATCGTCAGTGAGACTTACCATCATTAGCACTACACTACAACTCGTCAAAGAGACAAGTGAAGTTGATCCTTTGACAAATAATAAAGCAAGAAATTGAACTAGTGAATGGGTGTTATGAGAATATAGGATAGGTCAATACCCCGCTACAAAGAGAAAGATAATAACAAATACTTAGCAGACAATTAGCCAAAGGATAGCCTTTATTTGTCTCTGACAAGCTGTAGTGCGGTGCTAACAATAGCAAGGTTTACTGAAGATGCCGGCGAAACGACTGGGAATATATCAAGCCTACGGTCCGACTCTACTAATAATCATGAATACCTTCGGCTCCAGACAAGATATGTTCCTCTAGGTCTTTCTGCCCATATTATCAAGTTGCAAAAATAAGGTCAAACAACCTCTATTTAACGAAAGGAAACCATGACCTTACTTAAGGCCACGGCATCTTGGTCTTCATACCTCTGATCAAAATATAGGAGATTGCCTAGAGTCTAGCGCCAACAAGTAAAACCAACCGACAGCTGGCCAAGAAGAACCCACCGACGTTTTCTGATGGAATCGATCTTCTAATATCCTCATCAAAAACTTTCCCTCAAAATATAAGATCAAAAATTTAATAATTAAGAGAAATGACTTACTTTCCAACTGGATCAACGATGCCTTGATTATCAGCACCTAAACCTTCGCCTTCTTTCCAGCCCATTTTTTCTAGCATCTGATAGCCAACATTCTCACATGTCAGCTTAAACTGCTTGTACTCGGAATGATCGGGTTCACGACCCTCTTTCAAGGCCTATAATCGAGAAGCTGGTATTCAGTAAAGGCATAGTAAAAGCATGAGATTATAGAAAATTTTTGTTTTCGCAGCGGAAATAAAGACACTCAACTAAAAAGAACTTGAATATAGATAATCAAAAATAATTCCATCGATACAAATGAATTGCTCTTCTTTCACAAGAAAAAACAGCACTATCTTCGTAGATTACAGAGCAAAGCCATAGAATCACGTAGGCAATGACAGCTATTCTGCTTTAATGCTTGCAAACAGGATCCAGCTTCATTGTAAAAAGTTACGATGGAAATACACTTTAAAATTCGTAGAAAACCGATTCAAGATTAATTCGTACAGCCAACGTCTTGAATAGGAGGAATGAGTGTATAATATTAAGTAGGAACAATTTGTGGCTGTTGGATAGGCTTAAGAAGAGGAAGAGAGATGGAGTGCAGGAAGAGCCACTGAATAAGAAATGGAGTTTGGATAAGCTTTGAGTCTAGCTAGGACTATCACAATTCTAATGACATGAACATTACATACGCCCAATAGACAATAGAACATGAATCAACATTATAGGATCGTACACCAGTATAATGGTGTAAGAAAACAGCTGTCATCGAACACATATACGATTCATTTGCAACCATGCAGTGTAAGGCTAAAGTAGCCAATCATGGGATGTCTCATTAAGATCGCGAAGTTAAATGAGAAAAAAATTGACTAAGGTTGCAGCCAGCGACCTTTTCTCTTGGATTAGTAATTTTTAATCTATTTCGTAAAGAATTGATTCTCGTTCTTATAATGCCTGTCATAGTACAGACAAGAGTTTATCATACTTTCATATGGGTCGCAGAACAATGAGTCGAAGACTTCTTCGCCCAATTAAATAGCCTTCTCTACGCGGCAATCCTCCTTAGGTTTCCGGTGAGACCACATCAGAAATTCTTTCATACCAACTTTCCCTCTGAAACGGAGAGTCATGTCTGATCTTGTGAAAGCACTACGCCAATGCTCGGAATATATTGATCGAATTTTGTGGCTTAATCTTTAAGAATTTACCTGCATAATTCCAACTGTTTCCTGATATATAAAGAGCATATTCTTGTATTTTCCCCCACAAGCTTTTTTATTTCAGTCAAATATATATGATATATATATAATATACCAAATAAGCATTTGATCGAATTAGGTTTAAGGATTTTATGTGTAAGCTAATGAAGTACTCGTTTCAGCATTAAGCAATTTTACCGTTCAGACTTCACATCGTCATTATGCTGTTGAAATAGTTTCTAATCGTTTGAGACTTTAAACTTTATTGAACTACCTTTTTATTACATAAAACTTATTTATCATATTCGAAGCAGGTAACGTGATGAATGCACTATGTTATTCAGAGAGAATTATTTACAAAACCATTTACGGGTGTCGTTTAGCGCAAGAATTTGTCCATTCTCTTTTACTAAGTGGTCCTCTTTATAATAGGCATAACGTTATTGTCATGCAGATTTTCAATTCGCTGAACTTAAGCTAAAACTGAAAACGAAAAAATATTCGATGATCATTTAAAAAGTTGAAAAACAATACCGGCATTAACTTAAGAGCAGCTGAATGGTAATAATATATTCTAACATTAGATACCGACGCATTTTTTCAAGGTAAAGAACATGCAAAATGGAGGTATATATCTCAATTTAAGAATAAACGAAATAAAAGCAATCCTACTAATTATGAGATTGTAATAGAAAAAAAACAGTGTAATCTAATGGGTGACAATAATAAGGCAGTTGGATCTCGAATAAATAAATATATATATATATATATATGAATGCCAACTAAAGATAAAGCCTAAATAAAACTCACTCTGTAGGTTTCTAAAAAACGTTGGAGCTCATCAGGAGGGAGAAAATCGCCAATATGATGTTTACCCCTTCCTAGCTCTGTTAACTTATCTGCCCATTCTAGGATAGAAAATAAGTATTATGGTTAGGTTTTAAAAAACAAACTAATGAAATCTAATTTTGAATATTACAATAACCTTTTGTCGCCTCCATTTCGGCTTGTCTTAATTTGTGTTCCCAAGTGCCTCCATCGCAATCTTCGTCAGAATCATATTCATATTTAATAACGAGGCCATCTTTAGTTAATTTAGGTTTTTTCCTTTTGTCTGAGGAATAATTGATACCATCTATTGATGCCAGGAGTTCCATTTCACGAACTTTTAGATTCTTTTGGGCTAAGATAAATTCGTGCATTGACTGGAGCTAGAATGTTAAAATCTCAGTTAGAATGTCAAAAAAACGTTGAAAGATTATACAAGTTAGGC